TTTTTTTTGGAACAAACAACGCCCTGAAAGGCGGGGGATTGGGCTGAATCCCCAACCTGTATATAGATCAGGACCCCAAAACGGGCCCAGAATATCAAACAGCTACAGATAACATAGTCTCACAATCAAAGAGAACCAAAAACAGTAAAATGAAATAGTACAAGGTCTGTCATCGGGCTAACAAGTGTCTTGGAATAAATGTATGATCAAAAGAGAACAAGGTCTAATTTACTAAAATCGAAAAGATGGATATCCAAGCTGGTCCATCCGTACCAGCGTGCGAAGGCGGAGTGGAGCAGTGTCGGTCTGGAACGTGTGAAGGTCAGGTGTGGTGGCGCCAAGGCTGGCAAGGTAGTCAGCAGGTCTGTTCCCCTCACGGAAAATGTGCGTAATCCAGTGATGGGCAGACCGCAGAAGAGCTCTAATGCGCATAAGCGGATGCTGAATCTGCCACGAGCCTTGGTGGCCCGAGGTCAGGATGGTGACGACCGCCGCAGCGTCCAGCTCGATCAAAATGTGACTAGAGAGGTGGGCAGCAATCTGAAGGCCAGTCTGTAATGCCGGAATCTCTGCGTCGTAGCTCAAGGAGGCCTGAAGGGACGTGTGGAAGGCGGTGATAAGGGCCCGCTGTGGTCCCGGATCAAACCTCCTCCTCCGGCAACTCCGGTTTGGCAATCGAAAGAGGTTAGTAGTTGTCTGATAGTGCTAGGTTAGTTGTCTGATGGTGCTAGGTTAGTTGTATGATTGTGCTAGGTTAGTAGTTGCTAGGTTAGTTGTCTAATAGTGCTAGGTTAGTTGTCTGATGGTGCTAGGTTAGTAGTTGGTAGGTTAGTTTTCTGATTGTGCTAGGTTAGTTGTATGATTGTGCTAGGTTAATTGTATGATTGTGCTAGGTTAGTTGTCTAATGGTGCTAGGTTAGTAGTTGCAAGGTTAGTTTTCTGATGGTGCTAGGTTAGTTGTCTGATTGTGCTAGGTTAGGTGTCTGATTATGCTAGGTTAGTTGTTTGATGGTGCTATGTTAGTATTTGATAGGTTAGTTGTCTGATGGTGCTAGGTTAGTTGTTTGATTCTGCTAGTATAGTTGGCTGATGGTTCTAGGTTAGTTGTTTGTAGTTGCAACTACATGATAAAAATTTGCAAGGTCACATAGCAAAACTTTAAAAGACCATAACTTTGCATAGAAAGCTCCGTTTTAGACGATTTTTTTTTTATTTGGGGTAGCTCGACGAGATCTACGCAGCTGCAAACAGCTGAAGGCAGTTTGGCCGCCCAAATTTTCAGAAAAAACATCTTTTTCTTGCTTTAATTTCATTTTTAAGAAAAAAATACGTTTTTTTTTTTGTATTTTTAAACCTCTATATCTCCCCAATCGAGACTCATTTTTCGATGTTTTTTTTTTCATAACAATGCTCTCAACCTCTATTTTATGTACCAATTGGAGAAAATTAAAAAATGCGTAGTCTCTGCAGTTGCTACTTGCTAGGATAGTTGTCTGATGCTGCTAAGTTAGTTGTCTAATTGTGCTAGGTTAGTTGTTTGATTGTGCTAGGTTAGTGTCCGCATTTTAAAAGCTGACCTCATTTTAAGAGCTGGTCTCATTTGGTCTGCCCCTATAT